AGTTTAGATTTGTAGTGACATGTTTACCATATTTAGCGAAATATTTATCCAAGAGAAAATGCCTTGGGCTACGTTTAATTGGGAGTTTAGAATGGAATGGAACAAATTATAATTGTGACCACTAATGAAATTAGTGGCGGTGCTAGGACCTTAGGTCATTGGATGCAACATTTTTAAAATTAATAATTTAAAGTATTGTATCCTGCATGGCTGCATGTTATGAATCGTTAATCAAGCATTTCATTGTTGATGCTAAGAAAAATATCTTTTTTAATACAAGTCATTAGACAATTATTCATTAATAGATCTCTCATATGATCATGCAACCAATTTTTTACAAATTTTATAATAAAAATGGCTCTTTCTATCATTGTTGTAGCAACCGATAATATCTTATTATATTATAAGATATGCCTCTTAATATAAGATACTTGATGTGATATTAATTATATTTTTTTAATATTATTCATATTTTAATTTATTAACTATGAAAAATAATGCAATGCAAATCCAATTGAAAAGTTTTAATTTAAATATTTGTACTATTAAAAATTTATTTCTTTTAAACAAGATTAATGACTTAACACCTTTCTTTAATTCTGATAAGGTAGATTTGAGGTGACAGAGATTGGAGGGACTATGCCTTGTACTAAGTTGGTAAGTTAATTATAAAAAAATAACAGTCTTATGGCAATATTTATAATATTGATGTGAGATGTTACAATTTTAGGTGACCATCCCAACTGTCAAGTTAAGACCTTAATTAGCCTTGAAAGTCGAAAAGACATCCCATTCCCAATTCCTTAATTTTTCCATGTTTAAAAATTCCCCCAAACAAGGCATATCCAAAAAAACTACCATAGCGGATCATTATGAGTTGTCAGCTGTGTGATTTTGTGGGCATGGACATGGTATTTCTCCACAATCATTTACTTAGCGGTCTCGCTGATTCGTGTATTTACGGTGAAGACTCAAATCTTTTATTTGGATGTGGTGAAAAATAAAAAAGGAGACAGCAATGAGACAGTAATTGCGAGTGCTGCTGCGATGATTTATAATATGAAGTCTGCTCAGTCTAAAATTTCTAAAGGGCATGGGAAGAATTCGAACCAATCTGACAGGGGTAGATGGGCTCCACCTGATCCTAATTGGGTAAAATGTAATGTCGATGGTGCGTACTCTCATCACAATTCTCTCGTAGCTTGCAGGGGTCTTCTGCCGGAACTGTCATGGCAACTTCTTGCAAGGTTTCATGTGTCGCATGGATAGAGGTGATTCTCTGACAACTAAGGGCCTGTTTGGATACCTATTGTGAATCAATTCAGGGATTAAAATCATGATTTTGTAAAAATTTATCCAAACACCCTCATTTCATAAAATTTCATTTGATTTGAAAAATTTCATTTTAGAGAAGCTAAAATTTCTTCCATTTGCAAAACTCCATTTGACTCCTTTTCTTTATATCATTTATTTGCACATTCAAAATTGATTCTCAAAAAATCATTCAAACATATTCAATTTATCAAAATTAATTTTTAAAAATTTATTCAAACATCATTACGTTTTAATAATTAATTTTTTCTAATTGAAATCCAAACACACCCTGAACTATGGGCCTGTATTCATGGTTTGAGAATGGCCTGGGATGCGGGTTTTTGTAAAGTTGATCTTGAGACAAATTCAACAGAAATCATAGATCTAATTATGAAGGGATGCAATAGTGAGTATGGGGTCGTGCTAGAAATGCAGTCGCTGCTTCAAAGGGAGTGGGGGGTTTAACTTAGGTAGATTCGTCGTAGCACTAACATGGGTACTGATTATCTTGCTAAACTTGAGCTCAACTCGATGTTAGGGATAAATTTTCTAATGCATGTTCCTGATGGTCTTTGCGAGGTGCTTGCTAGAGATTCTGATTATGGGTCTCAGGGTATAGGCTAGCTTGCCTTGGGTGCGTTTTGTATAAAAAAAATAAAAAAAGGAGAAAATTAAAAAAAAAAAACCCTCTATCCAAACCAAACAACAATCAGGATGTGAAATGATTCCGTCGAAATGATTCTTGCATATATTCCAACAATTGTTGCCATCAATATAATATTCCATGGAGAATGTGAAACTACACATTATCATTTCGGCATACAAAACACGAATCGCTCACAATTGCTCGTAATACACAGTATAACGGTAATGACACACCAAAATAACAAGTTTCTCTTATTGAGAAGCTACTGTGTGTGCCGCTGCCAAGGGACAGAGACCAACCACCACATTCATAACGAATACAAAAACAGAACATTTCATCGATCAGCAAGGACACAGACGACGATTCTTTAATTTCTCAAAACTGGCCAACAATAACCCGATGAGAACGCAGATATATGTATTCAATTATTAATTAAGAGCGTTTGTCGTCGATACGGACTTCTTCCTTGAAGAGCTTAGAAGCAGCAGCTCTATCCAGGTACCACACGAGGTCGCCTTCATCAGGCGAGATCAGTTTAGCAGGAAGCTTGCGACTAGGAGCTTGTGGATAATTGTCGTCCTTGAAAGCAGAATAAACTGCGTCAGCATTGGCAGAGCCAGCCACCACCATTGCGATGTTGGAACTCGAATTGATCACTGGCAGAGTTAGAGTCACTCGCATCACGTCCTTGTCCTTCACGGAAGCCACCCATTTCTCGTTCTCATCAAGAACTGGATGATCCGGCATTAGAGAACCCACACGTCCATCTGCCTCCATGCCCAGAAACATCAGGTCGAATTTAGGAAGCTGGCTTTGTTTGGACTTTGCTATCTCGTTCTTGGAAACCCAGATCTCCAGTTTCTTCTCGTAACGTTCGGCTGCTTCGTTCTCATCTGATAGGTCGTAGTCAATGGTATAAACATTTAAAGATCCAGCTGCTCGTGACACCTGAAGAAGAATAATGAGTACGCTAGGTCCAGCAAAAGGAATGAATGGAAGTTAATATATATGTATACATATGTACCGTGGTGAGAAATTCATCGTAAGCGAGCTTGTGGTTAATCTTTGCGACTAGTTGATCGTTTGGCACAAGTCGCTTTTTTAACTGATCACCTGGCACGAAGACTTCCTCTTCCACCCAAAAAAACCGCCATTTTGACCACTCAATTGTATCGATGTATGGAGGTTCCGACAACTTCCTGAAAATCCGGACCATATATGGAAAAATATCATCAAACTATAGTCATTGAAGGTCATGCAATTGACTATGCAACACTAGGAAGAAGAAGAATCAGAGACCTGAGGAATTTGACGGAAGGGGTATCGGACAGAGCAACCGAGAAGGATCCTTTGTCTCTGATGTATTTTTGGGAGAGTTCAACGATATCATGAACCAGGGACCCATGAAGATGCTCCTCAGAGAATATTTCCACGTTCTTAAAGCTCTTCTCGTCCTTCTTTAATGCCTTCACTGTGCCAAACAATGTCCTATTGTGTTTCAGGGGTTGGTAATGGAATAATCTGTGTGTTGCTTGGGGTGGCGGCAGCATCAACGACGTCGTTTGGGACACAGAGTTTGGCTTTGGGACACTCAAAGGCCTACTCCGTATTTGTGGGATGCATGAAGAAGTGAGGAAAACAGTAGAGGACAGGGCCATTTCTGTGAGTGTTGAATGAAACACTTCCGAGTTCGAGTGCTTCTCACAATGTCACCCGCATTTATATATCGATATTGATATCCTTTTCTCGGTCCAAGGAGCAAAGGCAAAGCACATTCAAATTTGAATTGGATTCCATTACTACTACCACAAGCAACTTGGTATACGCATTCGTTGATGCGCTTTAGTGAGACAAAATCCAACACTTACCCCACCATTACTAAAGGCTTAGGTACTGCAGTGCAGACGATAGTTCGGCCCAAATTTAGCTTGTTTCCATGCCATTTACAGCGTATTATTGGAGAGAATTATGTTTAGATTTCTCACAATACACTTAAATATCACATTAATATTTATCAACAACTCAATGTAGCAAAATGATAATTTTCTCAATAAATTTTACTTTTTTTCCAGACCATAATATATGTCATTATTAACTAATTCATGATTTATGAAAAATCTTATTTGAAATCTTGATTCTTTTAAAAAATATTTACATCTTTTCATTTATGCCCTTTTAAAATTCTTAATAAAGCATGCATGATCTTTAAATATGGAGCATTTAAAGATAAGGAACAAAAAGAAAAACAAGGGTATAAATGAAAAAGAAACATAAAATTTGCCCAATACTCTATATTTTGAATCAAAGTATGCCTTTAAAAAGCCAGTTATATTTTGGTGGGGAGGAAGTATGATATTTAATTATGTTATGAGAGACTTGAAACATAATTATTTAGAATTATTATTATCCGATCCTTAGCATACAATTGGACATAGGAGGGAGTAATTAACCTCTTACCTTTTTTTTATTACCGTTCTACATTAATCTATACACATCGCTAGATATAGAGTACAATTAAATATCACATTAAATATTTATCGACAACTCAGTATAGCAGAACGATAATTTTCTCAATAAATTTTGTGGTATTTAATTATGTTACGAGACATTTGAAATATAATTATTTAAAACTATTATTATCCTTAGCATACAATTGGACATAGAAGGGAGTAATTAACCTCTTACTTTTTTTTATTACAGTTCTTCATTAATCTATACACGCCGGTAGATATATAGAGTACAATTAACAAGCAATGAGAGTAAATATTATTTATAATGTTATTGATAACTTTCAAAAAAAAACAGTAACGTTTTTTATAATTTGTTAACAGCATATTTATTATAAATTTTAAAATTTATATTTTATTACTGAATTATAATTAAAAATGGCACCATAAATTGACATGGAGCTCGAAACGAGCTACCTAACACAAGTTGTAGTTGTGAATAGTAGACTTTTAGCAAGTTTTATTTATATTTTAAAAAAATTAATCTTTTACTCCTTCAACTTTTAATTCACTTATAACTCAATCCCTCAACTATGACTCGCTGCGATTCAGTCCCTTAATTATAACTCATTGCAACTTAATTCCTCAACTTTTGATTTACCTATAACTCGATCCTTATTTTTTAATTTTAAAAAAAATTATCAAATAAGAGGGATAAAAAATGCTCATATATTATTTTAAAATACTCTCTTCTTATTCATTAACGTAAGATATAAGCTAGCATGAAAAAAAATTAACAAAGATTAAGAGATGAATTTGTAAGTGATTCAAAAGTTGAAGGACTGAGTTATAGGTGAGTTATAGTTGAGGGACTGAGTCACAGCGAGTCATAATTGAGGGACTGAGTTACAAGTAATATAAAAGTTGAAAGACTAAAAGATTAATTTTTTCAAATATTTTTTATGTTAGATATATTGATGATATGTTAACAAACAATAAAGTCATACATGTGGCCTGTGCGTTTGATTCAATGATGCTGACCCAAAATGGAAACCAACGCATTCGATCCTCCTAAAGGATGCCATTAAAAGGAAGAATGTAACTGTGAACACGTACGCCGTCATGGAGCACCTTTTTCAAATGCTTGCCATTTCTGCCACAGCTACGAGAAAGAGGACATGAACCATGTATTGCTCTGGTACTCCTTTAGAGATCTCTTCTCCCCAGTGGCAATCAAGATCACCTTTTTTCCATTAACTGAACGTAGACACGTCACACTAGGAAGGCAAATGGGTCTCAGCTTCACTCCGCAGCCAACCCAGTTGCATCCAGGACTTGGAGTATGCTCCGCCTTTAGGCTGGGTTAAGATAAATTATGATGCAAACTTTAAAGTGAACTCCACATGGGCAATAGCCTCGAGCAGGAACTGGATCAATGGAGTATACAGCAACATATATAGGCCCCGGCAATAACACCCAAGCAGAACTGTAGGCCATTGCATGGGATGAAGGCTACCGGCACATCTTGCTTCCAAGTGACACTGTTTGTGCTATCTAGCTTATAATTGGCGACCACTCTCTGATAAAGTCTCACCACGTCTTACTACAAGACATCAAAAACCTCTTTCAATGCCATTGGAATATTCAACTCTAACATGTATACAAAGAGGCCAATCGATGTGCAGATCACCTAGCCAATCATGCCTTGAGCCTAATTCTTGGTTTTCACATGCTTAGAACCCCCCTTGATTTAATTCCCTTTGAAGCAAAATTCCTGCCCTCGGCTCCCCTCCCCAACCCCCAAACCAAACAAAGGATCAACCTTCCATGACTCTTTGGAGCTTACTACCCCTTGTTTTATAATAATAACAAAAACAAAAAAGCCATACTTGTTAGGAGAATAAAGCCAAGTCCTTTGCTAATTTATCCACCCGAGCTACTGGCTAGTACAAGAAACAGACATTGTTTTCTATACCTTCCCATATGCTAGTAATAAGAATACCCAAAGATAGAATTCACATGCACAGTAAAGCAAAATGATCCATTCAAGCTCAACATGTACAGTATTCAATAAGCCACTTAAATCCATTTATACTCCCTTATCTCATCCTTATTCTTCTAGCTAAGATCGTGAGCTTTATCACTGTAAAAAACTTACCCATGTGACTAGGTGACTTGCTCTCCAACTAAGAGATATCGTACATGGCCAAAAACCCTAAAGCTCCTGACCAGACCACAACCTCCCCCTTTTAGAATGCAAGGGGTGTTATAATGTAACACTCTAATACTAAAAAGTAACACCCTAACTCAAGGATAGCAATTGATCCAAATATTTGTACAAAATATGAAACTATACCAGAATTTACCTTAAGGAACCCAACACTGACATGAAAATAAGGCCCACACCATCGTGGATGGAGATGTGGTCTACTAATAAAAAATTATATATTACAATTCACAATAGTCAAATCAATGACCTAACAATAGCCAACAGGGATACCAGTTCATAAATATAATAAAATAATGGGTATTACAACTTTCAAAATCAAAAGTCTAGCATAAATCCTAACATTTGGTGTAACACTCTCAAATTAACAGACCGATTTTTCACAAGTTATTAATTCAACAAATCCTTTTTTTTTATTTTTTTTTTCATTGAACCCTTATCATGGTAGAAAAATTTCTACCACGATACATCCAAGACAATATACCACAGGTCTTAAAATATCTAAAAAAAACAATTAGAACCATGAGGGACAGACATGATCCTCATAGCATGTTATTCAAATCAGATCATAAATCAAGAGGGACAGACATAATCCTCTTGGTCATATAAATACTTTTAATAAAAAGGATTAGAGTTTACATGCTTCACAAAGAAGATATGTCCTAAGTTGGCACAAGATACATTGTATAATCTAAAATAAGAGGCAACGTAAAAGATGGTGTCTCATACACCACAGTTACACCTCTGGTGCTTTCTCGGCCGGACTCGCTCCTGTAAAAATATTAACCACGGGGAATGAGACTTAAAAGTCCCAGTAACCAAAAATTAACATGTAATGATGCATGCGGATGTAACTAATCATGCGATTGCTAAGTGGGCACACAAAACATTTAACCGAACAATACTTTCAAACAAACCGAACAAGTATTTAATTTGCATGACTGCACCTTATATCCTCCTTTCGCCATGCTCGGACGCCAAATCACCCGACCAAAGGTGAGTTGGACCAAGCGACACGCCACTCATTGGGTCCAATGAGGGCTTACCACGTGGTAATAATTAACCGAACAGAAATTCCCATTAACACCATACATTAAAATACCCTGACAAGTCATGCATCATTCAAATATCCAAACAGGAATATATCCGAACAATAATATCTCATCATGATAAACAAAAATAAATTTTTAACCCACTTGGCAATAATTTCAAACAAGTATATACAGTATTTATTTTCAATAATTCATAATTTTTCCAAACAACAAAACAACACATAACCATTCACAAACACACTCATCACAACACATTAATAATGGTTACCTTATGTCTTGAATAACAAGTTCCCCTTCACAACTCCTTTTTCACCACTCTCTTTGTCAACATAATCTACATAATTATTTCACAATACTATATATTAATTTTACATTAAAATAAATAAATCTAATTTAAAGAGTTAGAAAGTCTTAAATCTATAGTCCATATTAACACTAATTTAAGATTTATGCCTCATTTAACTTCCCAAATTCTTTTCTAAAATTCTCGTACCCTAATGAACTATTTTTTTTTTATCCTCAATTCACTTCTAGTATCACAATTTCATCCTTCTACATTCTAAAAATTCATCCAAAAATAAATTAAAAATTTTAGAATTATCCTGAAGCCTCAAATCACCTTTCTATAACCTCAAAAATACCTATTCATACTTAAATAAATATTTAATAATCATAGGTTTATCCCTACGTCTCAGATTCCACATAAATTCAACCATATAGATCTAGATTTTAACTCAAAAATTCTTAAACATGAGTTTCAACCTCAAAAAAATATTCTATAATATTTATTATATCCCTAAGAATTTTAACCTATATTTTTAATCCATCATATCATCAGATTAACTATCCTATAGAAAAATCCTAATCAAAATATTTACTCTATCCTACAAAATAATCATATCACTAGAAAGCTAATATTATTTAGAAAATAACTATAAAATTAATTTTGTAATTAAATAAATTTTTAAATGCTAATCTAAATAGGAAAGTTAGAACATACATGAAGAAAAAGAAAATAATCCCCTCTTGTGAGAAAACGCCGAGCAACGTGAGAGGAAGAGAGAAAAATAATATAAAAATGGGATTGTGAGTCCCAAAATTATATTAAAAAAAACTATAGGTTTGAATTTAATTATTCAAACCTTTGGGCCAAAAGTTGCAATTTTCTCTAAATTGCATCTTAGCCTCTCATGCTTCCTAATGCACACACCCCCTCCTTTTTATACATGAAGGCACCTCTTCTCTTCCCTCATCTAACCAATGTGGGACTTAGAAACAACAACCTTTCACCCCCTTTTTTTTGTTCCTTCTACCTTCTCTCTTTTTTTTTTTCAACACATACATAAAAAAAATTATTTATGTATTATATCTTAACTAAATATTGCTTATGTGGTTTTAAATTTAAATTTTTAAATTCATAATTAAATACCTAACCATAATATTATTTCTAAATAACCTCAAATAATATAAATTCCTATTATTATCATTTTTTTTCTCAAAACCTAAATTCCACAATTTCTTTATTATATAAAAAATCAGGATGTTACATTTGGCATTTGTACAAATAATTTTCAATTGTAGTACATATACCTAGTATAAGGTACAGATGTCGTCTAATCAATAATAAGGAGGTCACCACATGGGTGCCTTCTTGGTATCATTGGAGCTATCACCTGAAAAATGTTAAACAAATGGTGAAAAAAAAAATCTCAGTAATCAAAAATAAAATTTCTTATATATCACCTTAACCATTAGTGAATTATAATGTCAATTATTCCATTATGTCAGTAATAAGTCCAATCATCTTTTAGAACAGAATTCTTGTTTAGTTATCTCACAACTCCACCCTTTCCCTTTTAATACTTGTAGTTTAGTTTAGGGAAGCTCAAAACCCTTGTAAAATTGTCCAAAACCCCTTAGAGGAACACCTAAAATTATTGCCCTTCGTCTTCACCCTTCAAACCCTAAGCTTTTGGCTTGAAATCATGTCTTAAATATACTAATTCATATTTGTCTAGCCGGTTATACCTTCAATAATTGTGTTTAGCACTAGATAAACTCCACATTTGACCAGTCAATACCTAAAAAATGTTCACTACCAGACACCCTCTTCATTATTCTTATTTAGAGCCGGATATCACATGAGTAACATATCAAATTTTTAATATGTGATTTATGAATTAATGAGGGTGAATTAATGATTCAACATAATAATTAAGCATGATTTGGTATGCTAATTGAATCATATGGTTTATTGGATAGGCTTGGAAAGGGTAGCTTAGGCCATTAAGGGCCCAATTGGATGATGCAAACTAAGGCATTAGCTTTTTGCGTTATCCATAGATGACGTGCACTACAACAGATGGTTGCGTTTTGATTTTAAATTAAAAAGGAAAACAAAGAGAATGAAGGAGTTGGAATATTGGTATGTTACAGTTTGCTTTAGGTACCATTTGGAGGTGTTTATAAACCAAGAATCAACAAGGAAAGCCTCTCGTTCCCTCTCTAACTCTCTTTTATGTGATTTTAAGTGGTTTTGGATGATAGAGGATGATAAGTTCATTTCTTGAGGAGTTCTACCCAAACCCATTAACTATAATGGAGCCATTACGAGTTGCTTAAAGTTTATAAACCTAAGGTTGGTGTTTTTATAGGGTTTTATGAATAGGTTTTTGATTTTATGTCAATCTTAGGCTTGAGATTAATGATTGGGAGTAATGATTATTTAACTTAATAGAGGTTAGTCGAAGTTAATGGAAGGTTATAAATGGTTGAGTTATGTAGGTGAGAGTCGTGAGCTTGGGTTGGCTAATTATAGCTAAAAGTACTTATATTAGAGTTGAAAATTGATATGGCAGTGTTTGGAGATGTAGATTGACATCGTTTGGACCTCTTTAAGCAAAGGAAGCTCAAGGAGTTGGTAAGTTCATGGGTATCTTTTTTGTTTTTTGTAATAAAAGTGTTGAGGTAATTGAATAATCCGATACTTTTACCTGCTTGTTTGAAATTATTGGAGTCTTAAGAAATTAAATAATATTTTGATATATGTAAAGTGTTATTACTGTTTTAGAAAAATAAATGTAAAGTGGGTATGGTTTTGGAAATGTAAATGTAGTTACATGATTGTAAAAATGAATTTAAAAGACAAAATGTGCTAAGCACGTTCAATATGAGAAATAATTTGATTTAAAAAGGAGCATGTTGATATTGTCTATGTTGTGAGATACATTAGGAATTACATTTATTTGGCATCATCATTGTGAAAGGATGAGAATTCAGCTTAGGAGAGTTAGTTCAAATCTATATAACACTCACTGACACCAAGAGAGGTCTTGGTGTTTATTTTATTATTATGGCAGCCCCATCATCACCTTTTAAGGTATGGCTAGGACATATGACACCCCAATATTCGAGAAGGAGAAATCTGTGGTCCAAGAATGAGTGTAGAGTTTTTGGCTAGGTCAGCCCACACAATTGGTAATATTAGGCCAGTATGGTCACGTTTACGTGGTCTTGTTTGCATTATTAGTCCACGAATTTAGTCAAAAATTGTAACATCCTAAAATTTTTTTTCATGATTTATTAATCTAATGAAAGGTAATTGTAGAAATTTAAGTATAATTGGGCTTAAGGATAATTAGAGACGTTTATTGGGTTCGGAAGTGAATTGAGTCACCCAAGCTTAAATTGTAGAGAGAAGTTGGATTTTTAGCTAACAGTGCATTATGCTACAGCATAAAAAATTATGCCGTAACATCATTTTTTGAACCAGTTTTTAAAATGCAAAAATCACTTTGAAAAACAGAGTATCAGATCTGAAACAAAGAGGGGGCGACCAAGAGAGTGTTTCTCTGCTAGGACATCAACTCTTGAGCATTTGAAGATGTTTGAAGCTTAGTCTCACCTAAGTATATCTTATTTATCTCTTCTTCTTCCCCCCTACATGTTTTGAAAGTGAGCTTCAAGGTTGGAAGATGATGATTTTTGGATTTAAGGCTGTAGGTCCAAACTCATTAGTTTAAATGGGACTAATGAGAGTTGTTTAAGTATTTTACATATAATTTAAAAGTTTTTACAAGGTTGTAAGTTTGGGTCATCCATTTTGGATGAACCCTAAACCTCTAAAGTGTGATTTTAAATGGTGGGTGTTATGTTAGTGATTATTTAAGTTAATAGAAGCTAAATGGAGTTAATGAAAATTAATAAACCTAATGGTTATGCTTAAGTGCAAGAGATTGAAATTTTAGGTTATTAGAGTATTGATTGATGAAAGTTAGAAGAATGTTTATGACAATTTTAATGATGACCAGTATAATTAATTGTAGATCAATCATCTTGTGCACTATTCAAGCTTTGGTATAGCTTGAGAAGAACTTTTATTGAGGGGTAAACCTTTGACCTCTTAAAAGTTTGAGGCAACTGAAAAAAACCTAGTTTTTTACAGTTGAATATTAATTGATTATTTGTTGAAATGATTGATTTGGAACATGTTTAATATTTTTAAATTCATAATGCAAATTAGGCATGGTTGATGATGTATTATTGTTGCAAATTATATGTATATTTATATACATGCTAATAGTGATGATGAATGAGAAATTGTGATTATGTACTAGTTGGTGTGTGGAGTGAGTTAAGTGTGAGTATAGATATGTAGATTCATGATACAAATGATTGTTTAGCATGCATATACATATATGATATACGTGCATAGCATGATTATTGGCGGGAGTTTACCTAGGGAGAGGAGTAGTTGACTAAACCCACCTAGTTTTAGCAGCAATTGTTGGAATCGGGAGTTGCCTTGGCACCGACTGTTGGAATCGAGAGGTAGCCCTTGTCCCATGGTTGATTCAGGACTATCCGACTTATTTTATGAGGGACTCGAACCTAACTAATCTCCACCAATTCATGAAGAAACTAGATTAGGGGTACGACACTCCATAGTTGTTAGTAATGAAATAAATTGGATTACACAAGTGAGTGAGTTGACCATGACCTGATAGATCCTCACAAGTGAAAAGGCTGGGTTAGTCCGTGAAGAATGTAGCTATCAAATAGCCATCGATTTTATGTCGGAGGTAATTAGGAGGATATAAGGTTGGCATATGATCATGCATTTAGTCCCGACCACATAGTTATTAAAATTATGGTCTAGTGTGATTTAGGGGTGCATGGTTTGTATTATTGCGACCCTAAGTTGTGCATTATTGATATAAATATATGATTATATGTTTGAAGCCTGATCACATGATTGTTATTGGTGGTCGAGGCTATACGTTATCTTTCATGTTTATGTGTGTATTTATTGCCAATTACATCCATTTTTAATTGATATGTAACTGTATAGATTAAGTAAAACTTGATTATTGAGTGGTTATACTCACCCCTTAATTCTCAATATTTTCAAGGCCTAGCTCATCAGGTCAAGACCAGGGAAAACGAGCTGAGGCATAGGATTGTAAAGTAATCCTTTGGATGCCTCTTTATGTTGTTTTATGTGTATTGAGATTGTTAACTTGCCAACTAGGAATCACATGAATATTTTTGATACTACTTGCATTATTACTGTATCACACTTGTGTATTTTATGTCCTAGGTTAGTGAGTTTTCATTGCAAACCCTAGTATAGGGCCAAAATATTTGTGCAAGTAGGAATATGTGTATTTTGAATGGTTTGGAGTGAAAATGATTGCTTTGTACAAGAAATTCCTCCTCCTTGTGTCTTATGTGTTATGGGGTTGAGTGGTAAATTTGTGATACATGTGTTTTTGGTTGAGTATAGTGTATTGTATAAGTTTTATAGAGTCTATTGAGTGTGATTTAAAGGTGGTTATAAGCTTATGGCACTTGATTGTGATTTTGGACACCTTTGTTATGTTTTGAAAACATAAATGGGTAAGTTTGCAATTTAGTGTCCAATTTTTGATTGAGAAATAATTTAAATGTAAAACTAGTGCCATTAGCTAGAGCTTGAAAAAAGCTTTCTATAGACACTTAGATCACCTCAATTAGACGTTGGATGGAGATTTAGTGAGTGTCGAAAGTTCGGGCAAAAAATTTGCATGGATTCTGCAGTTTATACTGCAGCATAAAATTTTATGTTGCAACATAATTGTCCTAGAATCCATTTTTTTTTTTGCTATGTTGAACCCAATTTGATGTTCTCTTACCTTGTAAGATGTTCATGCTTTCGTATACATGTTTTGCTCTGATTTTATTTTTTTAAAAATGATTTTAAATAATTTTATAGCATTTTAAATTTTAAAAACTTGAGATCCCATTTATGTAAATTTTACAATCTTGGTAATTTACTTGAATTAGTCTCATGATTACTTCAATTATGGAGTTAATTATAGAGTAGTAAGGGAGATCTTACAAAAATAACATGAGGATATAAGGGCGTGTATGATCATGCATGATTATATATGTTGTATGAACATGGTTTATGGCACACTTTACATGCTCATTTACATTTTTGGCTTGCTTGTGAATAAATTAAATTATTTAGTTGCTAAGGCATTGTTCTTATTGCTACAGTTATCATTTTACAAATTAAGATTTCACTTAAGGCAAAAGGGAAGCTTTAGAGGGTAAAAAGTAAAGTGCTACTTTTGTAATGCTCGTTTAATTTTTTGCATATTTGAATATATCACTTGTCAACTAGGTTATC